CCAAAAGCCGAGCGCCACGACGGGTGGCAGTAAGAAACTTTCGTTGCTGACTCATCGCTGTCGCTCGTCTCTCGCTAAAGCGCTTACATGCGGTTCGGCTTTTATCTACGGAAACAATGTCTAAAAGCGCACACATGCACTGAGAAGCACGACTGCGATAGCCTCACTGCCAAAAATTTGGGGGTTTTGCGTGCCAAACCAACGACGGGCATCTGGAGATAGCCTCACTGCGTCAGTTGAAATTTTCATATGTCGCAATGGTGTTGACTGCCCTTTATTAGCGACAAAAACAAAAGAATGTGATGAACTTACATGTTCTCTGAAGCCTAGGCCATGATCTTGTATCGTGATCCATTCGCTGTCCGATTCCATTCTATAAATAAGAAAATACAACATCTATATCGAAACATAGGTATCAAATGATCAAATGAAAGCCTGAAATATCAAAAAGACCTAAAGAAAACACTCGACTTCAACGCGGAACGTAAAAGAACACGAAAACAAAGCTCCGGTAGTGACCGGTGCAGCACACAGTGCGGAGCAACGGCGACAAAATGAAGGTCAGCTATGGCAGCTCGTTAAGCGCGCCGACTGGTGGCAGCTCGAGTAACTGACTCCCTAAAAGCATGTATACAGATAAAAACTGACACCTGCTGGCAGAACACTGTAAGGTCAAAATGCACTTCCTCAGAAACCAGTGCCACTAGTTCCACAGGGAGTGAAATTCTGTCAGACAATGACACTAAGGGTGCACCTCAGACAAGAGTTGTTACCCTGGTATTTTATCCAGAAGGTCACCGAGCAATTAATTCACTGTGTCCATTGTGAGTGCAAGTCCAACTTAGAAAAAGACTAGTGTCATGGGCTGCTACAAGACAAAAACAAAGAGGAAAATTCACAATACCTTCTTGATGAAATCCTAGAATAACAACTCATGTGAGCACACCCTCATTACTAATACATGACAAAGAATTCCGCGATCTGCAGAGCCAATGACACTCGTTTCTGGGGGAGTGTGTTCAGACGTCGCATCAGCCCACTTCACATGGCGCAATTTCGCTTGCAAATTTACACCTGTGACGTCAGGCACTGCAGCTTCCCCCATGCCTATATTTCGCTGCATGAGTGACGTCACAACAGCAAACTCACAAGTAAAATCACACCATGCGAATCAGGTTTACAGTGTTCTGACAGAATGTGTTACTTCCTATCAGGAGATATATTTTTTTTACCAAAGTAAACTATTCAGTTAAAAGACGTGTCCTGCCCAGATCTTCCTTCATTTCGTCTGTGTTTTTTGGCTTAATATCCAGTCTTAAGGCATATCACTGTGAGGTGTTTTAGAGCGCAGCTCTTAGGGGCCCGTTCCCGGCTTAAGCGGCGTCGGCGTAACCAAGGTCACCCCAAGGTCACGTGACCCCTCCCAAGGTCATTTCAAGGTCACGTGACCCCAAGATGACCCCACGTGACCCCCTGAAGGTCAGGTGACTCCCGAGGTCACGTGGTCTCCTCCCCAAGGTCACGTGACCCCCTCCAGGTCACGTGACCCGTCCCAAGGTCATTTCAAGGTCACGTGACCCCGAGATCCCACGTGACCCCCTGAAGGTCACGTGACCCCTCTAGGTCACGTGACCTCCCAAGGTCACGTGACCCCTCCCGAGGTCAAGGTCACGTGACCCCGTGAAGGTCACCTGACCAGGTCACGTGACTCCCGAGGTCACGCGGTCTCCTCCCCAAGGTCACGTGACCCCCTGAGGTAGCGTGGGTGTCACGTGGGGGTCACCTTGGGGGTCACGTGACCTTGAGGTGACCCCCCACGTGACACCCAAGGTCACGTGACACCCAAGGTCATGTGACCCCCAGGTATCGCCTCCCCGAGGTCACGTGACCCCCCCCCCCCCGGAGCATATTAAAGAATGAGGGGAGGAGGAGAAGGAGGAGGGGTCTACCCTCCCCTTAGTACCCTTCCCTCCTCCTCCTCAAGAGCTGCGCTCCAATTCGGCGTTACAGGGATTTGTAAACGGCTTTCACTTTTTTTCTTTGTCGCTCTAGTAGCACTCGGGCAGGGTGGGTAAACAGTCACGTCTCAATAATATGGATACTCTGCTATATAAAAACCGTTTTCGGTGACCAACCGGGTAAATACCTGCATTTTGTCCTGTTATTATGCACAGCTCACATTATGGACGCTTTTGGGTAGGAACGGAGGTGTCCATTTGCATGAGACATCACTGTCAAATTCCCTAGTGTTGAATGACTGCATGCTCTGAAGCCACTTAGCAGGCTTCTCCACTGAACACTAATGCGTAGTGGTGGCATGGCAGATGTTTGTGGCTGCAGAACACACCACAGGCAAATGATATCCAATGTGGACAAATCATGGATATTTGACATTAGAATCAACCAACAAATAGGCCTACATGTTGCTGTCACAGAATTGAACGATTGTTTTTCTTCGCTGGCTTCCGTTTTGAGTAAGATGCACGAGTGCCGAAAACACGAGCTCGGAAAGAAGAAAAAGAAAAAAAGAAGGAAGGCAGAAGCTGCGTAGAGCTAGGCTTCAGTGGTTGGAACAACAAGCAAGGTTTCAGTGGTGTGGGAGGTCGAAACCCGAACAAGGCTTTGTCAAGATGGTTGGTGGGCCCTGAGCAAGCTTCGATGATGTGCATGTGCTTGTGAGCGAGGGCTATAAGCACCCAAGCCACCACAAGTTCTCGACTCCGACTGGTGCTGTAAGGGACTGGGACCACCACCGACATCTTGGGACCATGATTCGACTTTCCTCATACGAAATGTATGGCGTCTTTGATTTGGCTTCTGTTCCCTCTTTGTTACGCTTTCGAAGCTTTTGTGATTTTCTTGCCGCTGTTACGAAGAGCAAAAGGCTTGCAAGATATGTTCTTTTCCTTTATTATTTTCATTTTTTACGACTGTTTGTGCGTCCCCTGTGCACCTTTTCTTTAATTTTGAATTTCATTACTAATAAATAGTGTTTCGAAATGCCAGGTACAAGTCACTCTCAATTCCTACCGCCTCTAAGGAAGTCCATCACCTAGGTGTGGCCCTAGCACCTGGACAGCGGTCCAATTCAGATTACAAGTTGGGTTGTTTATGGCATCTTTTCCAACCGAACCTGTGACAAACTGGCATCCACTACAGGACTTGAACCTGTCACAAGTTAGTCAGAGGTTCGGTTGGAAAAGATCCCATAAAAACAAACTTGTAATTTGAATTGGACCGGTGTCCAGATGCTAGGGCCACACCTAGGCGATGGACTTCCAGAGAGGCGGTAGGAATTGAGAGTGAGTCGAGCCTGGCGTTACAGAACACTATTTAATAGTAATGAAATTCAAAAGTAAAGAAAACGTGCAACGGACGCACACACAGTCGTAAAAAAAAAGAAATAAATAAAGGAATAGAACATATCTTGCAAGCGTTTCACTCTTCATAACCGCGGAAGGAAAAACACAAAAGCTTTCAAAGCGTAACAAAAGGAACAGAAGCCAAATCAGAGATGCCATACATTTGGAGGAGGAGGAGAGTCCGATCATGGCCCCAAGATGTCGGTGGTGGCTTGGGCGCTTACAGCGCCACACAGTGCTCACTCACAAGCACAGGCACATTGTCCAAGACTTGCTCGGGGCCCACCAACAGTCTTGACGAAGCCTTGCTCGAGGTTCGACCACCCAAATCCAAGAAAGCCTTGCTTGCCGTTCCACCGGCCATAGCGCCGATGCCGTGCTTCGCGTTCCACCACAACCACACCGTGCGCGGGTTCCACCTTCTTTCTTCTTGATCCCTTCCTCCGAGCTTGTGCTTTCGGCACTCGCACATTTTGCTCAAAACGGAAACCAGTAAAAAGAGTACAAAAACCACTGAATTCTGTGAGAGTTGTTATGACTGTGAATGTCTAGAGGGCAAAGTTGACATTTGCAACAAAACTTTAAATAATAAGGCATGTGGAGAAGGAGACAAAAAGTTTTGTGTCACTGGAGCCCACAAGATCTTTGTAAACTACTCAAGAAACGGTGCGACATAAAAGCGCGACAAAATACATTCTGACGCACGGCATGTTAAGACATTGAGAAACCACTACAGAGGTGGTTTAGAGATGTCGGGGCAAGCAACATTCCTATATTGGGACCAATCTTCTAAAGGCATGTGAAAAACTCCTTTTACTCTTGAAGTGAAGAATCTTCTAAAAGAAAGTGAAAGATTCCTTCTAACTTGATGTGAAGAACTTCACTGCAAGTGGATAGCTACACTAATTTAAGGGCCACCATGGCATAGAACAAAAGACCATCTTAGGGATGGATAGATAGATGCAAACGGCTGTACCTTTTGTAACGGGCAGTAGTGCCAGTGCATGTAATGGGACTATTGTGGTGGCAGTGCCAGCGTCGAAAGAGAAAGTCAATGGCTCAACAATCAATTGAAGCCAAGTATGAAACCAGAAATAGTTAAATGCCTTGCCTAGGAAATGGGCCTGCGGTGGCGAAAGCATCCCTGGCAAGCGATTCACAGTTCGCATGGAAGCTAACAGAACAAGGCCCAGATATCAGAGCTTTTGAAAACCAACACGGATGGCACCACAAAAATGTATCCTTAGTAATGGGAAAGTTTAGAATGCCAAATAGTATGAGCTGTTGCAGTAAAACCATCATATACGTATGAAACATGAAATCATGAATGACTCGAGATCTCTTTGGCTGGGTCTTTGGTGGCTCGTGGACTGGGAAGCCGAGTTTGTGGATAAGCGTCCCAGCGTGTGCTTACTTGGTGACATGTGCCGCTTAACACTATCCAGTTCCATTCTAGCAGCCAAACACGACATCCAAGCTGCATCCGTTTGACCAAGGCATAATTCAAAGGTAGTCTAGATTGTGTTTACCATTTATAAACGTCCAGGCACGTCTGCAATTTAGCCCATCCAGAGGCTTTCGGAGACGGTCACAAGAGCCAGCAGCTTGCTTGGGCAGCTCACTGTCAGCCACTCTGTCCTTCCATGCACCGTGCCACCTCCATGAGCTCCCACTGAAAAACAAAAGAAACAGAATCGGAAATTATACCTGCAATAAGAACAGCTCAGCAGCAGAGGCTACGTTATGGTGCCTGGACTGCGCCTCCAGCTGGTTCGTTTAGTGTTCTATACCACCCATGTACCAAAAGTGGTCTCTAAGCAACAAAACTAAATGACACCACAAGAGCCGGCATGTCATGCTGTTGGATGTTGCAATCTTGGCAGTTGGTCGTACAACTTCTGCCAAAAAATATATGAGCTAACGCAGCCGTCATTGTCCTCGCAACATTCAAAATCCTGGCTGACAAAGCTTCTATGGACTGTCAAGCTGAGGGATACCCTCTCCCCCCCCCCCCCTTTTCCAGCAGAAACTACATCAACTGCCATGATGTTCACAGCCTGGAAAAGATCCCCTAGAAGTTCATTCAGGAGCAACTAGGGTAGCTATAGAGACAAGCTCTCGCACTATGAAGCCATTCCACAAATCTGCCATAAGCAGCAGCAGTTCATTGAGAGCATAGAAGTTTGCCTTGTAAATATATTTCGAGATGAAGTTGCATCTCTGGATTCTACCAAGACTCTAGTTTCCAGCAAAGATTTACGTTGGCAGGCCGGCCGAGTTGTTGAGTAGGAGGAAGGTGCATGTGCCACACCACACGAGTCTTTTGCTTACATTCAGAGAAAGGAAGGCTGAACTTCCCTGATCGATACTGATTAGGCTGGAAATCTTGAGACTTTTTCAATTGCCGAATTCCTCAACAATAGCAATTTTTCAGCTCATAGACACCCTGCACAGGGTTGAGGTAGGTACTAACGGTCATTAACAACTGCGTGAATTACTGTACACATATGCGGTAACTATACTAAAGCCCAACTTATTCTAGTAACACACAACACCATAAAACTACCAAAAAACACCGATCATGCATCCGTGGCAGAGTAAGCGCTCAACCCCTACTTTTGAAACATAACTCATCTAAGGACATATTAAAGCCTATTCCTCTATTTTAAGCAAGTTAAAAAAAATATATGAAAGAGACACCAAGCGCCCTGTCGCCATGGGCATTTGTCACCACGACTGGCAGACAGAATGGGGATAGAACGAGTAGAACAGCAAAGCAGGAAAGGAATAGGAGGGGTGCAGTCGAAAAGAGCTAGAAAGTGATATACTTGGGGACACCATTTCACTGCATAGCTGAATATAGTGCAACCGTAATATTTTGCTGGGTGGAACGTAACCAATTAAAATATATGTAAAATTGTTCTGTTTAGCTTTGACTTTAGAATGTTAGCATAACATTAGCCAGGATGTCACAAACCTAGAGCATTTCTTTTTTAGCTATTTTGTGTTTTCTTGGTTTAAATTCACCCTAGGTTTTCTAGCTCCCTGCAAAATTAAAATGGCATCTTTATCATGCGCAACTTTGGGCATCATCAGTGTGGTGTATTGTAGGTACACTCTGTGAGCTCGCCCCTTTGTTTGACATGTGAGATTTTTACGAAGTTTGGCAACCGAGAAATCTTAAAACAAACCAAGCAAGTGGTGTGCAACGTGTATGACAAATGGGACAGTGGGAACCGGGACTCCTAGTTGTTTCCGTATGCCGGTTGGCTAGCAAGCTCACTGGTGTTTGTGAGCAGGTGTGGGGACCGAGCTCAGGATCCCTGGGTTCTGCAGCGCAATCCTCGCTACACATATTCTGAGCTGTGGTGTGCCAGCGACCCCCTAGGGCCAGCCATAACTGAATGCGATCTAAATGGAATGCGACTTTGCGTCGTGGAGTGTGCGTGCTTCTATTTCTGTATATTCCTCCCGCGCAATAGTTTTTCAGCACCAGAAGAGTTTACAGACAACTGACCTCAAAACGCGGCAGCACTCATGAAATTCGTTCATGTGGCAATTTGGGTCAGGTGGTCCATGATCACTGACAAGCGCCAAAAAATAGACAGGGTCAAGAAGTTGCCACTGGCGCACTCGCAATTAACATTATTGAAAAAAAATTAAAAACAATCTGTTACATTGCTGTGAAAAATGTCAATCATGATTACAACCAATGTAGACCTCTATCAAGAAATTCAGCTTCTTTTGCTGATAAGGTTATGGATGTGTCACTTGTACAATTCGTGCCTTCACCTCGTGTAGCTTTCTAAACATTTTATCTGGGTATCTGGCCAAAAATTTGGTGTCATTAAATGACGGGAAACAAGGGCAGCAGCTGATGTGTGTGGTCGCTGCAGCAGCGGCCCTTGGAAAAGACAAGTGCAAAACTAAACACTGCAAAAAATTCACAGAATGCACGACGAAAGTTGTGTACGAAATCCCAATGTCATACGGTTCTGTGTACACAGGTCAGACAGGCCTATCTATTAATGATTGCGCCCGCGAACACGAGGTGGCCACACAAGCGACCTCCATCACGACATCTGGCCACACACTGCAGACGCTGCTTTTGCTCCCAGTCGTTTAAGGACACCAAATTTTCGGCCAGATACCCAGATAAAGAATCTAGAGAGCTACACCAGGCGTTTAAAGGGCAACTCCGCTTTATTTCTGATATTTAGAAAACTATGTAGCCCTCTTCAGTATCATATAGGAAGACCCCATGCCAAATATTACGATCTAATTCCGTCTATATATTTAATAAACTGGCCAGCAAACCTTCAAGTGAGCCAAGTCGCCGAAATCTGCAAACTGTAGCGTGCGACGCGAGTCGCAATCGTCAGTGCAGTCAATGCGACGGAGTTGGAGCGGCAAACGTTGGGCCACTACGTCAGAGGCATGTGTACGTCATTCTCACGTTTTGTTTGTTCTTACTTCTCAGAGCGAAATTAAACGATGACGTCATGAGTTTCTCCTCCGGGTGTTGGCTGACCGGGCGTTCACGTGGTCACCGCAACGCGGATGCGCTAATTTGCGCTGCCCTGCGCGCTTATCGGTCTGTTTCTCCGCTCCCTTTCTCTTTCGTCTTCTCCCCTTCCCCCTCTCGCCCGGGCCGTCACCGTCCAAGCCACGCGAAGAGACCTGCGCGCGTCGCGTGTCCTGTCCCTCGCCCCCCTCCCGAACGTCACAAGACCACGTGGCTCGACGTGACGTGCCCATGACTCTGACCACACGAGACCAATGTTGCCTGACGCAACCGAAGTTTCGGTTTCGGTATCAGCTGGTGTTTAAATTAGGATTACAGAAATAATATTTCACATTTCGCGAATCCGAAGACGTAGAGTTGTTTAGTAGTGCTTTGTGAAATGGAATCACATGTAAGCCTAAATTTTTCGGCATTGAGCGGAGTTGCCCTTTAAGATTAAAGCCAAAGGCACCAGGTGTACAAGTGACACATCCATAACCTTATCGGCAAAAGAATGAATTTTATTGATAGAGGGTTGCACCAGTTGTAGTCACGACTGACGTTTTTCACAGCTATATAAGAAGTTTTGTTTTTAATAAATGTTAGTTGCCGGTACACCAGTGTTCACGTCAAATTTTTGTCTAGGTAGTTTCTGGCGCTTATCTACTATCATGAAGTTCGCAGCTTTTCCTGATTCGACACCGCCTATCTTCGTCAGCTGAGAGACAAATTAAATTCTAGGAGATTGACCACAGTGAAATCTACCTTGCAAGTCTGTCTGAGTGCTTCAGTTAAAGTGTTGGCTTACGTTTAAAAACGGGTGAAACCTTCAGAAATAGATCTGAATATGCCTGCACGCTCGGCAATCGCGGTTCAGCTCCCTCAACCGCAATCCTCGTACAAAAACATGCACTGAAGCAGCTGCGTGGTTGACACGCCAAAACCCTAACTGAAACCGAGACCAAAAAAAAAAAAACGAAAACTATTTGGTGCACTAACACAGAGCCATTAGCACTGCCTGCCTCCCCCCTCCCTAGCTTTCTCTTTATTGCTAAAGAAAGTTGTACCCAAAAAAGATGGGTTGCTTTTTTGTTCTAACACGGAAGATTAAATTTAAGGCTTTATAACAAAAACAAGGAAATGCGTAAGCAACCATTCTTTAGGATGTTAATTTGTAATCAAAAAAAGAAGAAAAAAAAACAGACTGTTTTTACATGTTTGCACAGTCAACTAGCTTTGCAAATGGCAGCTGTTTGTAATTCCGTGGTCAGACCAAGGGACCACCCGACCATGTACACCTTTGCTTTATTACCTACCCTATCCCCTAGCTCTCCATGATCATCCCCAATTTAGTGGGCAATTGCTCGGTATATTACAGTTTGTAATGTTGTTATTTGTTTAGGAAAACAAAATGTCAGATAAATACCAGCAGGGCCCTGCGGAAGCGGTGCATGGGCCCTGTTTCGCCTGTCACAAAGCATCCTGTCTTGAATGGCAGCAGAGAAACAGGTGGGGCTGATTAGCCTGCAGGCCTTTGCTGAGTTGATGGCTACTATCCAGACTGGCAGCTGATCGGCAGCTTACAGCCACCTGCAGGTTTTTCTTGATACAGACTTCCTGCAATACCATGAATAAGAATCAGACTCATGTTCTGGAACAAAAAAGAAACCAAAACTTGCTTCACAGATCAACAAAAGAACAAGTGCCAACATTACGCTTCTCTTGTTGTCGACAGTGCAAAGACCATGATGACAGCACCATTAAACACATCCAAACAAGGAAAATGAGCTTCTTCTTGAAGTAATTGTATTGAGAACCAGGCACGCAGCCGGAGGGGGGGGGGGGGGGGAGGAGCCTACCTCACCTTTGCTTTATTACCTGCCCTATCCCCCCCCCCCCCCAAATCGTCCATTTTGCTGGACCCTCCTCTCCCCCTCCCCCTCATACAGCATTTTGTCTTGGGGCAATGCAATGCGCAAGTTTATCCTGAAGCTACTGTTTGCGCATACGCCTAAGAGGCGTTAAAGCTGCTTCACACTGTTGCAACTGACTACGACCGAGCTACAAAACAGGGTTTTAAGCCGCTTACGACTGCCATTACTGCTGGACGGCGTGGTCATAAGCCGTCACGAGAGGCTTAAAGACTGGTTTTGTCGGAGTCAGTCATAGTCGGTTGCAAGTGTGGACCAGCTTTCAGACTAAAATTGTATCCAGCTTTGGGTCTTTATACAAATGCCTTAAGAGACTCCCTTCAACTTTACCAGAGCCTCAGGTATTATATGTTTTAGTAAGTAAGAAGACATCACATTCAAAGTTGCATCTCCTTGATTTGTACGTGTCTCTGCAGTACATGTGAGAGCGCCTGCCAGATGTGCGAGTTTCTTTGCAACCTTTGTACCACTGAACATTCTATACCAGATCAGAGCATTCTAATCAAATCATTCAACCCCTTTGCTTAGCCATGTAAACTACTTGTGCACATACGAGTTCTACAAGTCACGAATGTAGCCGAGGTAAATTAAAACGCCGCTAAGGCAAGCAATAATAATCTTTGTTAGCGACAGTAGTACTCTGGGTGGCTCGCAAGGCTAGACATGTATGCAGGGGACCGTGCGCACGATCGACTGCTAGCCAATCAACCAGAGCAAGATGATTAAAATAGCAAACAGGCAACAAGGAAGAAAACAACAAGAACTATGAGATTAACAGGGCTCGGTCAACACTTTTAAGAAACTCTAGGCCCGCGCACCTCAAACCCAACGCCACGCACCGCAGGCCGGCGCGAGGCACACGCCGTACACGAGCACAACGACGACGCCCAGCTAGGAGCCTGTCCTATCAATCCGCCAAACGCCAGCGCCACACCAACACTCGAACCGCGCCATCCCGCTGGACGCGGCGCAAAAACCAAGTGCGCGCAGGCCGGGAGTTTCAAAATACTGGGCACAACTCAACGCTGTCGCTAGCATGACAAAGGACAAGACGACACGCCAAAGTAAAAACCACCCGAATGCCGCCATCCCCAACACACCCATGGCGTTCGTTCCAACATCCGTATTCAAGCGTTTGACAACACAGAACAGTTCACTGATAGCAACGCGTGCTTTAGAAACGATCTAATCAGCGTCTCTGCAGTGCTCCGTTGTCGCAGAGCATTCACAAGACTCAAGATAGCGGCGGCGCCGCCGCGGGTCAGTGCTAAGACGATTTCACTTTTTTCGACTCAAATCGTAGAAAAAAGTGAAAAATCATCTGCATTACGGTGGCAACGTGAGCTACGTTGTTCGGAAGATGATCTAGCATATCTGAATATTCTTCTAGCATGCATTATGAACATGAAATCGGCAAAACTTACCTAAACTCGGATCGACCGAAGCACTCCGAGAAACAGGCCTTTGTCTCTTCTCCGGCGCGAACAAGGATCCGGAAGCTGCTTGTGGCTTTGGATTAGCACGAAGCCAAGGATGGAATACGACGTAATAGTTTCGGTTTCGACCCCACTCTATCACAGTTCATATTTCTGGGGCCAGTGTCACGGCTGTGGACATTACCGCAGTTATCGTGCTCTGTACGAACTATGAAGTGAATCGAAGGCGAGCAGACATAATTTCCCAGCTTCTTCTCCTGTTATACGTTGCTTTATAACCTTTGTTTGCTGATTGAAATCTACATCAACTTACGTCCATCTCGTCCTTCAAACGTACGGTGTTCATTATCTTAATCCAACTTGATTTCTCATTTGTAAAGAAATGTAATTGCTTAATCATTCACTGGATGTTCGTTATGAGTTTTTATTTTTTGCTAAAAAAATTTACGTGTTTTTTTTTTTTTTGAGGGGGGGGGGGGGGTTTGGTTTGAATTACAGGCCGTGTTTTGCGGCTCGGTAAAACGGGTTGTTTTGAGAAATTCAAGACCACGTACAGCTGACAATACACCAGTGATGTAAATACAGGGGAGGAGGGAGAAGCCTTCAGGGTCGCCCCCCCCCCCCCCCCCCCCCCCTCCCCCTTGGAAAATATCCGTGGCTGCGTCGCTAAATGGGCATAAGAGAAGAGGCACTGCGTTTTTTGCCTCATAAACATACACTCAAATCTAAGGAGGCGTGCATTTTGTGTTTCGCGTGGGATTTGCTGAGCACGACTTTCAGTTTTGAGATGAAGCAGCTCCTCCCATCTCTTTCCACTTTTGCAGAGCGAACGCTCGAGAGGAGCCGACCCCCTCCCCAGCGTTTACTTTTAACCTGTCACCGAGTAAGGCTTTTTTTTTTTTTTTTTTTCGTGGACCTTTTAAATCGCTACAGCTCGCAGTTCATACAGCGGTGTAATCCAGTTGCTAACGTGCTGTGCGTGTCGAAACAGAAGACATGTTTCCCTCCGGAGCGGGATCGGCGGCCGAGTGGGCTAGAGCACACCAGCTCGGAGCACGTGGAGCGAAAGCTCGCGCTACAGAACCCAGGGATCCTGGGTTCAATAGAACGATCCCACCAAGCGTTCCAAGCATGCGTGACGCCGCCATTACTGTAAATCATGGAAGCAGACACCAGCTCACGAGACAGTTCATGCCACCTCGTGCTCTGCTCGCGCAGACCTCCAGCAGAATTGTCGCGCGTGCAGAAAGACTACAGCTCCCACGATGCATGGCGGCAGTGGCGGCGTACTCAAACTAGATGGTGAAATCGGTCTATCCGCACCCCTGCCCGTTTCGATCTGGATGAACATCCTACCAACGCGCTGTCGTGTATCATTACTGCGTGATGCACGTTAAGACCCCGCGCTATCGGTTGTACTGCATTGTCTAAATGTTTAATCTACAGCTGGGAGACTCGTCGGCCATTGAGGTAGACCAAATTCTAGGCTGTATAAACATAAAACAAACCCCAATTTTTCTCTGGAGCCACAGCTACAGGCTGTTTTCAGCGCACGCGATCAGCGCATTCAGTAAGCTAAGAACAAGAGCGCGCCCACGAGGCTTTGTGTTGCCTCTAATTTGCACGTGCTCACCCCAGCTTTGACAAAATTGGATCCCTGCAGTAGTTACGCTAACCTCGTGCGCCGCCGAAACGTACCCTACATGTCCTACACTTCGTTTCACACTCAGTGCGAGCGAGAGCAGTGTGAGGTCGATGTTGACACGTCAAGAGCTCTCCTTCGCTCGCATTTATGATGAAAGAGAGAATAAAGAGTCATAGAACAAAGAAATGATTGCCATATATTTTCTGTTGTGTAATAGATGGCAGGTTAGATCTATGTTTTGACCGCCTAAGCTAAGCCTATTTCGTATTTACAAATTCTGATAAGCATAAGCCCACGTGGAACCTATCCAAACACGGATTAAAACCCGGCTTGATTAATTTTGAGATGAAAATAAAAATGTAAATAAATAATACATTCGCGGTATCCCTTACTTTGTTTCGATTCCTTCTATTGTACGCATCAGTGGCATTAATGCGATCGCTGATCCGTAGATGCGATTTTACGTGGAATAAACTTTTTTGTGTACTTGATCACTAGCGCCACCTGCACATACTTTTGCTTTACGCCACGCGTGGCCAAGGCTTTCGTAACTTTCTGGTGCGGTCTGTCCGGACCGCATTCCAGTGTTGCCAGATTGGGCTATATATAGCCAAATTGGGCTACATTTTTTTCTAGTTGGCGTCAAAATTTCGCGTTTGGCTATGTGGCTATTTTTGGGCTATATCTAAGGGTGCGGCGAACTTTTGACGAACCTCAGGCTCGACGTCGAACTTTGAGGTTCGATTAGTTAATTTTCGAACTTCTAGTCAGTTTCGAAAAAAAATTGTTCCTCTTTTGGCTAGTTGAGGAGAGAGGAAGGAGGATGGCTTCAAACTTCTACAAACGTCGGGGTTTTCACAATGCGCAGAGAAGCAATGCTAGCAGAGTTCAAGCGGTCTCCCTACAGCGTCTTCCACCTGGACGTAGACTGAACTCTCCAAACGCAGCTTTGGTGCCCATTGCGAAAATTCTTAGGCATCGCCAACTTCAAGAAATGAAACACAATCAAAAATAGCGTGAACCGGAACGGGGGACGCTCATATTCTACACAAAGAAAAATAGACGGGTGGGTTATTGGTAAGAACCTTAGATATAAGGGGTACTGGTTTGAAACTCCCAGTTCTGGCACTTCTGCTCCTGCATTCTGTTATTTTACTGTATGGTTATAACTCCCGGGCCTCATAATACAGCTGTTCATGTAAGTTTTCTATTTCTGAAATCCTACAAAGGATGGGTAATTAATTGTTTCAGAAATTTTCATCCTTCTGAAGTATTTTTTTTTATATATCAGGGGACCTAATGCACACAAAAAGTGGCGCACCAGAGGGTTCAAAAAGAGAATTTAACATGTTGTTTTTTGCGCGTATGAAAAATTGTCAATAAAAGGCTTAAAAATCGTTCTTTTTAGTCTTGGCTATTTTGGGCTATATTTATTTTATGGCTTTGGCTATATTTGGGCTATACCTCCCAGCCGTTTGGCGGTTTTTCGGTGGGACCATCTGGCAACACTGCGCGCATTCCACGTGTGTCGGCGGTGTCAGGTGAGTCAAATGGGTCGTTCCCACTTTAAATAAATACTAAAAATCAGTTTCTCATACTGCGAAGTTTTGACGTAGGTGCAGCGAGAGCAGTCTTGCCTCATCTTGAGCTTAGAAATACCAGCCAACATCTAAGCCTTTCTCGAAGTTTCGCGTGTCGCGTTTCATTTGAAAAACTAGAGGCTTAGCACATGTCGGTCTTAGAAAGCATTTTTTGCTTGAAGCTTTTGAGGCAAGTTCGCTTTCGCGAATAAAACGCACCACCAGGCTGCAATTACGAATCTTGTGAAACTGATTTTTGTTGTTCATTTAAAGTTTGGGACGATCAGTTTGACTCAAGCGCCCGGTCATTCTTTTCAGTCTGTAAAGAACGCGGGGTCTGAGCGAACGGAAAATTGAACACGCCTGTTCAACGCCGCGGCAAGGTGTGCAGATTTAGTTGAGCAGCATGTTTTTTACATTATTTTTCTTGAAGCGCCGACTGATTTGCGATTAGTTAATTTGTTCTGGAATAAACACCGGCCTCTGGAATCTGATGAAATGTGTTTTATTGTCTTTTCTAATTTACACATCCAGTGCAACAGTTTCTTGTTTTTGGCGTTTTTTGTGAAATCAGACATGGTGCTGTTTTACGGACCCTGCTTGCGGTTGCAATGAACTGTCGGCACGGGCGTGTCAATAGAGACCGACGATCGCGTCACGCCAACAGCCGCAATATTTTTGAAAAGAAAAGGAGAAAACGGGTCCTGGCCCAAGGTCTAAGCGCAGATACTCGTGAACGTAGCTGTCACTGGGTATGTGATAATAGCGCAAGAGTCAAATTTAAGCGCAACGTAAAAGCACATTTTAAGTTGATGTTATAAGTAAAAGAGGCGGTATCGAGTACTTCAGGGTGCGGTGAAGAGCAAGTTCCAGCCAAAAAATAATGAACGACGGTAATTGCCCGTCGTTCCTTAGCGCGCTGAATCTTGCAAAAATAAACGACACCCGAACAGTGGCGTCACTGGGGTCAGCGGCACCCTCCCCCCTGCTCGTCGCCCGCCTCCATCCCCCTCTCGCCCGCCGCAACTCCCCCCCCCCCTCCCTCCGCTCGTCGCCCCCCCCCCCTCCCCACCGGCCCGTAGCGACACCCCCCGGAGCGCTGCACCCGGGACGGTCCGCCTCGACCCCCCCCCCCCCCTCCCCCCGCTCCCCCCTTTACTGCACCCGAAGCCACTCCCCGGCAGTTCCGTGGAATCCTGGGGCCAGTGAATACAGTGAAGCGCCACGAAATCCTTAAACGTTGGTAGCCGCCTGTCTACCCTGGTCGGCTCGGACCAGGACAATACAAGGAACGCCAATGAAATCACTTCCCTGGCAGTTACGTAGAATCCCGGGGCCAATGATCACGCTGAAGTGCCACTAAGACTTCAATGTTGGCGGCCGCCTGTCTACCCTGGTCGGCTCGGACCAATAAAATACAAGGAACGCCAAGGAAATCACTTCCCTGGCAGTCCCGTAAAATTCTGGGGCCAATGAACACACTGAAGCGCCAATGTTGTCGGCCGCATGTCTACACTGGTCTGCTCGGACCAAGAAAAGACGAGGAACGCCAAGGAAATCCCTTCCCTGGCAGTTCCGTGGCATACCGGCGCCCGGGAAATACGGTGAGACGGCAGGCTGGCAGTTCACCGAATTCCCTGGGCGGTCCCGGTCCAGTCTACTACGGCCAAGGCCCAAACCTGGCCCCAGCTGGCCCAAGCAAGTGCGCTGCTTGGGCGGTTCCGCCGCGCGGGAATCTTTCTCACACTGCGGAGCGAGCCACAGATTTTGAAGAAGACACGCTCTTTTCAAATAACGAAATAACACAGGGCAGAAGCA